TCCCCCTTGGAGACCACAGCAGGTCATGATGGGACCCCTTCATGCCATGGAGACCCCCAGGAGGGGATGGAGACCCCCCAGGAGGGCCCAGCCCCATGGAGACCCCCCCGGCACCCCCCGAGCTCACCAGGATGGTGGTGATGATGAGGGTCTTGTTGGCCAAGCTGTCAGACGCGTTCATGGCCAACGTGGTGGTGTTCATGGCCAACGTCCGGTTGGAGTACCACACGCCCACCTAGGGGACACACGCCGCGATGGCGGGGGACGCTTTTTGGGGGTGGCCGCGGGGTCCCATGGGGGTTGTCTCACCTGGCGGTGGCCGTGACGTCCCTTCTCCAGGACGTGCAGGGTGTAGTTGGTGCGTTGGCCCTTGCTGTTGAACTCCACGCGGCCCGTCAGCCCGTCGTACTCTACCTGGGGACAGGGGGGACGGTTGGGGGGGGGACGCGTGGGGACACGTCGCAGGGGGTGGCGCGAGGACAGGGACACGAGGACGTCAAGGATGGAGATAGGGGGGACGTGCTGGGGACACCTAGGGAGGTTGTGGGACCCCTGGGAGGTCCAGGGGGGCTTTGGGAGGTCCAGGGGGGCTTTGGGAGGTCTCCAGGTGGTGCTGGGGACCCCAGGGAGATGGGAGGACTTCAATGGAGGTCTGGGGACCCCAGGGAGGTTCTCAGCCCCTTCCAGGAGGTTTTGAGACCCTCCTGGGAGCTCCAAGGAGGTTCTCAGACCCTTCTAGGAGGTTTTGGGGACCCCTGGGTGCTCCAGGGAGGTTCTCAGACCCTTCCAGGACGTTTTGGGGACTCCTGGGAGCTCCAAAGAGGTTCTCAGACCCTTCGAGGAGGTTCTGGGGCCTCCAAGGAGGTTCTCAGACCCTTCCTGGAGGTTGTGGAGACCCCTGGGACCTCCAAGGAGGTTCTCAGACTCTTCCAGGAGGTGTTGGCCACCCCTGGGAGCTCCAGGGAGTTCTCAGACCCTTCCAGGAGGTTTTGGGACCCTCCTGGGAGCTCCAAGGAGGTTCTCAGACCCTTCCAGGATATTCTGGGGGCTCCAAGGAGGTTCTCAGACCCTTCCAGGAGGCTTTGGAGACCCCTGGGAGCTCCAAGGAGGTTCTCAGACCCTTCGAGGAGGTCTGGGGACCCCTGGGAGATTGGAGGGCCCTTGTAGGAGGTTTTGGGGGCTCCTGGGAGCTCCAGGGAGGTTCTCCGACCCTTCCAGGAGGTTTTGGAGACCTCTGGGAGCTCCAAGGAGGTTCTCAGACCCTTCTAGGAGGTGTTGGGCACCCCTGGGTGCTCCAGGGAAGTTTTGGGGACTCCTGGGAGCTCCAAGAAGGTTCTCAGACCCTTCCTGGAGGTTGTGGAGACCCCTGGGACCTCCAAGGAGGTTCTCAGACTCTTCCAGGAGGTTCTGGGGACCCCTGGGAGATTGGAGGGCCCTTGTAGGAGGTTTTGGGGGGCTCCTGGGAGCTCCAGGGAGGTTCTCAGACCCTTCTAGGAGGTTTTGGAGACCCCTGGGAGCTCCAAGGAGGTTCTCAGACCCTTCCAGGAGGTGTTGGGCACCCCTGGGTGCTCCAGGGAGGTTTTGGGCACCCCTGGGTGCTCCAGGAGCCGTTGGGGACCCACCATGCGCAGGTAGTTCATGAGGCTGGTGCCGTGTTGCCAGATGCTGGCCGAGTTGCAGGCCAGGGGCCGGACGCCGATCTCCTGGCTGCGGTTGAGCTCCCGCACGGCGCCCACCACCACGTGGACCGCGTCGAACATGAGCGCGGCCGAGAGCTGCGGGGACGGGGACGAAGAAGGACGGTGGGGATGGAGGTGAGGATGAGGACGGAGGTGAGGATGAGGATGAAGATAAGGATGAGGATGGACGTGAGGATGGACGTGAGGGTGGGGATGGACATGAGGATGAGGACGGAGATGAGGACAGAGATGAGGATGGAGATGAGGATAGAAGTGGGGATGAGGATGGAGGTGAGGACAAGGATGGAGGTGAGGACGAGGATGGAGGTGAGGATGGGGATGCAGGTGAGGATGGAGGTGAGGACAAGGACGGACGTGAGGATGAGGATGGAGGTGAGGATGAGGATGGAGATGAGGATGAGGATGGAGATAAGGATGAGGATGGAAGTGAGGAAGAGAATGAAGGTGACGATGAGGAGGGACATGAGGATGAGGATGGAGGTGAGGATGGAGGTGAGGACGAGGATGGAGGTGAGGATGGGGATGCAGGTGAGGATGGAGGTGAGGACAAGGACGGACGTGAGGATGAGGATGGAGGTGAGGATGAGGATGGAGATGAGGATGAGGATGGAGATAAGGATGAGGATGGAAGTGAGGAAGAGAATGAAGGTGACGATGAGGAGGGACATGAGGATGAGGATGGAGGTGAGGATGGAGGTGAGGACGAGGATGGAGGTGAGGATGAGGATGGTGAGGAAGAGAATGGAGGTGAGGGTGAGGACGGACGTGAGGATGAGGATGGAGGTGAGGATGAGGATGGAGATGAGGATGGGAATGGAGGTGAGGATGGAGGTGGGGATGAGGATGGAGGTGAGGACAAGGATGGAGATGAGGATGAGGACGGAGATGAGGATGGGAATGGAGGTGAGGATGAGGATGGAGGTGAGGATGAGGATGGAGATGAGGATGGGAATGGAGGTGAGGATGGAGGTGGGGATGAGGATGGAGGTGAGGACAAGGATGGAGATGAGGATGAGGACGGAGATGAGGATGGGAATGGAGGTGAGGATGAGGATGGAGGTGAGGATGAGGATGGAGATGAGGATGGGAATGGAGGTGAGGATGGAGGTGGGGATGAGGATGGAGGTGAGGACAAGGATGGAGATGAGGATGAGGACGGAGATGAGGATGGGAATGGAGGTGAGGATGAGGATGGAGGTGAGGATGAGGATGGAGATGAGGATGGGAATGGAGGTGAGGATGGAGGTGGGGATGAGGATGGAGGTGAGGACAAGGATGGAGATGAGGATGAGGACGGAGATGAGGATGGGAATGGAGGTGAGGATGAGGATGGAGGTGAGGATGAGGATGGAGATGAGGATGGGAATGGAGGTGAGGATGGAGGTGGGGATGAGGATGGAGGTGAGGACAGAGAATGGAGGTGAGGGTGAGGACGGACGTGAGGATGAGGATGGAGGTGGGGATGAGGATGGAGGTGAGGACAAGGATGGAGATGAGGATGAGGACGGAGATGAGGATGAGGACGGCGGTGAGGACGGCATGAGGACAGAGGTGAGGACAGAGAGCGCGATGGAGGTGAAGATGAGGATGGACACCGGGACAGGAGTGGGATGGGGACGGAAATGGGGACAAGATGGAGATGGGATGGGGACAGGGGAAGCAATGGGGACAGCATGAGACCCCCTGCACTCTTTGCACCCCATAACCCACCCCCTGGGCTCCCCCATGTCCTCCAGGTGCCCCATGTCCCATGTCCAACCATGCCACGTTGCCTCCCCCCAGCTACAGAGTGACCCCCATAATTGGGGTCCTCCAGGTCTTTTGGGGTCCCCCTGGTATTTTGGGGTCCCCCTGGTGTTTTGGGGTCACTCCCATGGTTTCCAGGACTCTTCCATGGGTCTTTGGAGGTTCAACCATGCCAAGGTGGGCCCCAACCCCATGATGCTCCCTGATTGTTGGTTCCTCCCTGTTCCTTTGGGGTCCCCCTGGTATTTTGGGGTCCCCCGGGTATTTTGGGGTCACTCTCAGGGTTTCCAGGACTCTTCCACATTATTGGGGGGTCTTAGGATGTTCAACCATGCCAAGGTGGCCCCCAACCCCATGATGCTCCCTGATTGTTGGTTCTTCCCTGTTCCTTTGGGATCCCTCAGGTATTTTGGGGTCCCTCAGGTGTTTTGGGGTCCCCCAGGTATTTGGGGTCACTCCCAGTGTTTCCAGGACTCTTCCATGGCTCTTTGGAGGTTCAACCATGCCAAGGTGGGCCCCACCCCCATGATGCTCCCTGATTGTTGGTTCCTCCCTGTTCCTTTGGGGTCCCCCTGGTATTTTGGGGTCCCCCGGGTATTTTGGGGTCACTCTCAGGGTTTCCAGGACTCTTCCACATTATTGGGGGGTCTTAGGATGTTCAACCATGCCAAGGTGGCCCCCAACCCCATGATGCTCCCTGATTGTTGGTTCCTCCCTGTTCCTTTGGGGTCCCCCTGGTATTTTGGGGTCCCCCCAGGGGAAGCAATGGGGACAGCATGAGACCCCCCCGCACTCTTTGCACCCCATAACCCACCCCCTGGGCTCCCCCATGTCCTCCAGGTGCCCCATGTCCCATGCCCCACCATGCCAAGTTGCCCCCCCTCAGCTCCAGGGTGACCCCCATATTTGGGGTCCTCCAGGTATTTTGGGGTCCCTCGGGTATTTTGGGGTCACTCCCAGTGTTTCCAGGACTCTTCCATGGCTCTTTGGAGGTTCAACCATGCCAAGGTGGGCCCCAACCCCATGATGCTCCCTGATTGTTGGTTCCTCCCTGTTCATTTGGGGTCCCCCAGGTATTTTGGGGGGTCTCCCGGATTTTGGGCCCCCCCCGGTATTTTGGGGTCTCCCGCGTGTTTTGGGGTCCCCGGGGGGTCTCACCGCGGGGCCGGGGTAGGGGCTGAGCTCGCAGTTCTCGCGCCAGGACATGTTGAGGCTGCGGACGAACTCCAGGTAGAAGGGGTGGCTGGTGTTGAACATGGAGAAGCCGAGGACGGTGGAGGGGGCGTCCGCCATGGCGTCCAGCCGCAGCATGGGGAAGTCCTGGGGGACGGGGACGCGGTCAAGGGATGGGGACATGGGGACATGGGACGGGGCGAGGGGACGAGGACATGGGTGAAGGGATGGGGATATGGTCAAGGGATGGGGATGGGGACAAGGACATGGATGAAAGGATGGGGACATGGTGAAGAGATGGGGAC